CTATTGTATTTTATGTATTATATCCAGGAATTGGAGTATCATATGCTCTAGCCATAATAGTTTCACCACCTTCCCAAACACTTCTTTCAACTCCATGATCCCATACTTTTTTAACAAAACCATAAAATCTAATTTAATATTAAACATCCAATCTCTCTATTTCCCATGGATTTCCATGATTCAACCAAAAATCTGGAGATTCAACTTAATAACCATCTTTTATCAATTATTTGAATATTCCATAAGTATATCTTATTCCATAACCAAATGATGGATAATTTAAAGTAGCTAAAGAATCCAAAAAACAAGCTGCCAATCTACCCAAACCTCCATTTCCTAAAGCTGGATCTACTTCCTCATCATATAACTCTTCTAATTTATATCCAAGATCTAATAGAGCTTCTCTGTAATCTTCTTCCAAATCCAAATTAACCAATGCATTTTATAAGCATCTTCCAATTAAAAATTCCAAACTCAAATAGTATATACGTTTGGCATCCATCTAATGAAAATGTAAATTTGTATCATTAAATGCTTCAATCAATCTATCTCTTACTGAATGAGACAAGGCTTAGTAACTATGAAATTTAGAGAAATCAAAGCGTGTTCTGGCCAATGTGTACTCAACATGATGAACAATAGATTGTTACAATGCTAATTTGTCACTTCCTTAGTACGAATCCATTAACTCCCATATTTTGGAAGTATCCCTTGGACTGGCTTATAAACCAAATTGTTCAACCTCTATTATTATTATATTTTAATATTACAATACTCAGGTCTATACATATTTGAAGGGCTTCCACCAACTTATACTGTTGATCTACGAACACTAGTCCTATATGTAGCTTTTTAATCCATTTTATTTAATATATAAATATATATCTAAAATAATTTATTTTTTCATATATGCTTTTATGAAAATTAAAAAGTTTATAATAAAAGTAAACTAACCTAAGTTAAGTTGTATTAATTGTAATCTTTATATTATGATTATTTTTGCTTCTATTAAATCTTATTATTATTGATATTGATAATCTTGAAAAGATAAAATACAATAAAAATAATTTAGATATTATTTCTTTTCAACTTGAATCTAATTTAATTCAATAACTTATTTTCATCATAATTTTTAATAGAAAAGAATTTTTATAAGAATTTCCAGAATTATAATATTTACTTTAAAATGAAAACTAAATAAAGGAGATCAATAAGTAGTGAATCTAAAAAGCCTTCTAATGATTACACTTTTAGGACTATATAGTTGGCTACTCCACAAATTGAATATATGACTTCAAGATCTACTACAGCTTCAGTTGAAAAAAAATTACATAAATTAGGAAAACTTAGGAATGAATAAAACTTACAGCTTAATAATACTATTAATTATGATGATCAATCTATAAGAAATTCATTGCTTTATTAAAATGAAGATTGGGGTAAATTTGAATTTCCAAGTTGGTTAAAGAGTAGAACTGACTTTATGAAACTTAGAAAATCTAAACATTTTGATTATCATTTATAAGTCTTTTCAATTTGTGAATAAGAGTATTAATCTCATTAAAATTTTAGCCCTTTTAGAAGATCGGAAGAACTAATAGAAATTGTTGCTCATTACTTGGTCAAATTAGATTTCTTTAGACTTATGCCATATAAAATGATTAAATAAATCGCTAGTAGATTATAAGCTAAAAGTTATGAAGAAGATGAAATAATATGCAAAAAAGGAGAAAAAGGAGATTCTATGTATATTATTTTTGATGGAAAAGTAGAGGTTATAGGATAGAAAAATTAAGTATTAGGTCCTAAAAGTTTAATTGATAGAAATTCTTTAGAATTTGATTACTTTAGAAATAATACTTTACAGGCAATAACAGTGACACACTTATTAATTTTGAATAGAATTGAATATATTACAATTCTAAATCATAATATGAAAGCAGAACATTTAAACCATGAGAGATTTATTAAATCTCATTAATTATTTTCTCATTTTCCTGTTGAAAGACTAAATAAATTTTGTAGTCTTTTATAAGGAAAGTATTTGACTAATAATGAAACTCTATATAGTATAGGAGATTTGATTGATTATCTTTACATAGTCAAATAAGGTACTTTGGCTAGATAAATAGTGATGGATTTAGAAGATTAAAATAGATGGCCCATTGTAAGAATTCTATATATTCCTTTGTTAGAATTAAAAAAAATGGTTAAGTTAAATTATTACTAGAACAATCTCTTTTAATATTGAATTTGAAATAGGATAATTGGTTGGATATTCAGATATAATAGATAGCGATTTTGATTCAGAAAAAAAGAGAAAAGAAACTATTTATGCTAAAACTGATTGTTTTTTGTTATATGTTTCTAAATCTCAATTTTTTTAAGGTATGATATTGATAATAAATAATAGTCTTTACTCAAGCTGATATATAATATTTTTAGAATTACTAAAATCAAAATCCACCTTTGACTTAAGAATAATTAATAAAAGATACTCGTTAAAAGTAAAATGAATAAAAGTAAAAACTTTAAATGGTAAATTAAGCTATTTACTCTCATCTTAGATAATTCTCTTTTGATTATGAAACACTTAAAAAAAAAGAATAAAAGTATGAATAGGTAACAAAAAATTAAAAAAAAGCTTCAAGAGAGTTTACAAATCGTTACAAAATAATACGAAGAGAAAAAAAACTAAAACTCATATCATTAGAGAATTATTGAATCATCATATTTATTTAATCATTATTGTATTAATCCAATAATTGTATTAATATTTTTAATATTAAAATACTATATTGTTTTTAAGTATTTTATAAAATAATTTATTAAACTAGATAAACATTTAGATCTTATTTAAATACTTTATAGATCTATCTAAACTTTAATTTAATTTATCAACTTTCTTGAAAATGATGTAAATTCAATATAATATATCAATTTTAATAATACATAAAATAAAGATATATAATTTAATAAATGATATTGTTTTTTAAAATAATTATACATAATATTTATTAACTTTTATAATAATTATATATAATATTAATTCATTCATGTTTTTTCTTATTTAAATAATGTATTGAAACATTAACTGTAATTTATGATAAAGTTATTATACATAAATTATAGGCTAAATGTAAATGTTAGAAAAAAGTTGCTTATGCTATCATATAAGCTATAGAAAAGTTTTGCATAGAAAAATAAACACCGTATATTGAAAGGGGATCTTTATATTGTTCAGATATAGTTATAGAAGATGTAAATTACCCAGTCATGTCAGCAAATCCTCTAAAATTAATATAAATTTTACAAAAAGAATCCTAATGCTTTTGTTAATGTCAAATCATAAACAAATGAGTCAACTAATGATATAAACATAACAACACATAGTATATTTGCATAGAGAATTATATTAGAATTTGACTTAAATAATTTCTTAATAAATCCATTTAATAATGCTCCTAAGATTTATGCAATACCAACAATAAGATACACTGATGCAGTTATCTCATTTACTGTTTATAAATCATAATGTTATTATGATAATGATTTATTAATATATTAATACAATAGACCATATTCAAATCCTATAATAATACCACTTGTCCAAAATAGAGGATAATATATTAAAGATGATTTATCAATCATAGTTTTAAATATATTTTAAATGTTTTAACTTATAGTATTTTATTCTTTTTCAATTTCTAATTCTTCTTGATTTATTTTACAATCCATTAAAATATCTGATTTAATTGGAGTTTTAATAAAGTAAAAAAGTAAGGATAAAATGAGTTCAATAAATCCTGAAACCCAAAAAAATAATGATCTTGATACTAATTTTAACATGAATTTAGCATAAAATCCACTCAACATAGATGAACACCCTAAAAAAATATAAGTTGTGCTAAACATGATTTCTGATGATTCATGTGAGGCACATTAACTTACATAAAAATTTTAAAGAATAAAGTATCCAGCAAGACCAACTCCTAAAAGAAAAGTAAATGATATACTAAGTGGACTCATTACTGAAGGTTAGCAAATCCAAGAAGTATCGTTACCGTTTCTGCAATTCACTAAATAGCTATTTCTTTGAATGAAAGTTACTCAGAAACAAAAAAGCATGGAACAACTAAAATAGCTTGAAATAGGAAGGCATGGTTGAATCTTCTATTTTTCAAGTAAGCTGGTGCAATGATATTGAAAAAGAACTCGGTTAAGTACACAGTCATTATCGAATATTTGCCTAAATCAGTATAGCCGTTTTGTTCTGCAATTTGAGGCAATAATGCTATAAGGGCTAAGCAAAGGCTCAAATGAAATGTCAAAATCAGATTCATATAGAATAATTTCCAAAAGTTAGGAGGAATATTGAAACATGAAGCCATATTATAATTAATTTATGGCTTAATAAGATAACTATTGAAAAGCAAATTAATTTTCAAGAGAAATATATGGGGTATTTTACCAATCCTTACTAGTTCCATAATAATGAACTATTATTCTTAAACAATCTAATGCATTAAATTACTAAAGAAAATTGTTGATCAGATGTCTAAATATAATCTATACTTTAGAATAAAATAAATATATGTTTAAACTTAATATATTGAATTGCTTAAGAATAACTCTACTTTAAATAATTGAGTTTATATTTATTTGACTAAAATCATTTAATAATTTTCTTATATTTTATGTAATAATCAGTCAATTATATTGATGAAATTTATGAATTAAGCATCATAATTGATTATATCTTATTATAATTAATCATTAAATCCTCTATATACTTATGTTAAATTTTTAAACTCAAAGATATGGATTAAATTTTAAGAAGAATCAATTAAAAATATAAATCTTTCATAGAAACAATGCTGAATTAATCTTATTTATTATATAATGCAATTGGATCTTAACATGATATATTAAATAGTTCTTAATTAAATATAATACTATACACTTCAAATGGATGTTCGAATATTTGAATATTAAAATTAATGTCTTAACAGAAAAATCAAAAGAATGTTGTTTTATACAATTATGAACCTCATCCTAAGACTATGACTCAATAGACTACCAATATTCAACAATCTCAAATATAGCCTGATGATTCACCCTTTAATGTTTCTAAAATCTTGAAAGCGAAACAATAACAAAGCAACATCTTTCACCTTCCTTAATAAGAACTTGTAGATTACAGTAAAGTCACTCCAAATCAACATGCAGAAAGTAAGGATTTATATAAATACTAGAAATACTGCCATATGACATGTTCTGGTGGAATAGTTAAAATTTAAAAGAAAATAAGAAAGCTGATGTAAATACTCCCATAATTCCTAATGTTCATATGGTTTAAAGTAGACCTTAGACTGCTGTTTAATAAAGAGCAAATACAGAATCAAGTTCCAATAATTAACAATTAACTGAATAATAATTCCTTCAATTTTAATAATAGCAATACTAATTATTTTTACAATAATAGCAACAAATCAAACTTTAATAATAGTTATAGCAAATAGATTAATAGAAACAATAAATAAATCAATAATAAGAAAATCCATATAATGTAATTAAAGAACATAACTAAATGATTGAAACTGCATCATTTGCTGGACATGATAATAATAATAATTAAGGAACATTTGTATAATAATAATAAAATAAAGAATAACAATAAAATTAATAATTATTATCTAATTAATTATAGAATCCAGCAAAAGTGTACGATAAAGTAAATAATCCAAATGCTGAATTAAAATAAAAAAATCCTAATTTCTCTGATGTTTTTGGGAATGGTTTAGAAAAATATTATTAATAGAAACCATAATAAAATAGTGGTAGAAAATAATAAGTAGAATATATGTAAGAAAGTGAATTATATGGTGTAAAATATCATTAAAGATAAATGCTCAAAGGTATGAGTTCTTAAATGGATACACATAAATATTACGATTAATTGTTAGATAAACAAACACAAGATTAAATTAAATCAAAATAACCTAAAAGTAAATCTCAATCTCCTTAAGCTTCTCCTGGTAAAAATCTTGAATAGGATGAAAAATTATTTCCAAAACCATTTTATACTGAATTAAGTATAAGAGGTATGGGAAAAGAAGTTAATTGGGAAAAATTGAAGGGATAATTATAGACTGTTTAAATGTAATTAGCAGATATTACAATTGTAAAGGATAAACAAGGAAAAATTAAACAGCATAAAATAATAATTAAATATTTTGATCAAGGAAATTTATAAGGTGTTAAATAATGGGTTCTTACATAAGGAGGTAGAATAGTAGAAGAAAGATTATTGGAATCGGAAGAAGAATTTAAGAACATAATCAAATTAAAAGAAGGTCCAAAGCAAAGACCAATGAGAATTGCTGAAGAAAAGGAAAAATTAAAGTAATAAAAAAAAAGACCATAAAGTGCAGCACCAATTTAAAAATAAAAGAAATGATACAATTTAATTTTATATTCTAAAATATTCAGTTTTTAAACATAATACTGATTTTATATTCTTTTCACATATTTTTTATTCTCTCATTTAATATAGCTTTAATGTATATCTAAAACATTAATTAATGTAGTAAATGCAATCGCATTATTCTTAATAAAATTTGCCTCCTGCATATCAATAATAACAAAGGAATGCATCTAGCTCACCTATGTAAAGACAGTTCCAAATTCAGCCTTTCACTCCAACTCAAAACATCGGAGGTTAAAATGAAGGAATGAAACCATATTCCACCGATATGAGAGAAAGAAGTAGATAAATGTAAAACACACCCTAATATAATGGATAATCTATAGAAAGTATGGCTTTGCGCATTCAGGCTCTTGAGAAGGATAATACAAATCTTAAAAAATAATTAGAAAATGCTAATCACTAAATTCAAGTTTTGAATTAGAAACTTAATCAAAATCCATCTCAAAGTCTTCTTAAAACCACTACTTTTGAACTTGTTGTATTGTAAAAGGCTGTAGAACAATTAGAAGGACTTAAAAATGGGCTTCAGAAGAAAAAATTATAGGGAAGTAATAATCAAACAACATTACCTGATTCTTAAAAGGGTGCATACAGTGAATTCAAAAGTAAAGTTACAGTAATGGAAGAGAAATAATAATAATTAGAACAATAGCAATCTTAAGTATCTACTCATTATTTAATTAGTCTATGCTCTTGTTTCCAAAAGAATAAAATTTACAATCTAATCCTCCTTCTAAAGAAGAAATGAAAGAAGAACCAAGGTAAGCCAGAAGGTTTAATGTTAATTCTTAATCTGATTAAATAGACAACCAAACGAAAGTAAGTCCTGTTAGGTATTTGAATGTAAAAGGAGGAACAAATTAAAATGCTTTGAGATTATCTCCTAGAAGAAAACCAGATTTGCAGTAAAATTGAAAAAGAAATAAGGATTAAGTGATTTTGTGCTAAATTTTTATGATAAATTATTCAATCGCTATGCTCAGAATAATCGCTATCATCCATTCTCTATCCAATGATTTATGTTCTCATTGTTTTAGTTGTTCTAGTTGGTTATCTATTCAAATCCTAATATCTATATTTATTATATAATCTTTTTTACCTTTATGCAATTTATTATTTTAATATATCCATATGATTCATTTCAGGAGCCTTACTTTATGGTTTTGGTTGGTCTGCTGCTTTGTTTTTATTAACAGGTTTCAATCTAGCTAATGGATTATCACAATTTAAATCATCAAGTAACTTAGCTCTAGCTCCTGCTGGTGGAGGTGGTAATTATCCAGGAGGTGGAGGGCCAGGAGGAGGAGGAGGAGGTGGAGGAGGAGGCCCAGGTGGAGGAGGAGGTGGTGGAGGAGGTGGAGCACCTTTAGGAGGAGGAGGGGGAGGAGGTGGTGGTGGAGGAGCTGCACTTCTATTCTATTATTATTAAGGAGGCGGTTATTAAATTTGTTATTATTATTATGGCTATTATTGATATTATTATTATTAATATTATTACTATTATTACTATTATTATTATTATTATTATTATGGTTGTTAAAGTTATGGGGGAGGTTATGAAGGAGTAATACTAGGAGCCACTGGCTTTTTATTTCTTTATTATGTAGATGGATTGAAAAAGTCCATGTCATCATTATCTGGGTCATAATCAACAATTCCAGCCAAATTAAGTTTTGCATCCACCTTTAATTATGCTATAGGTTTGTTAGATGGAACATATGAATATGATTCCTCTCCATATTTTGTAATTGTTTCTCCTATTGTATTTGGAGCATCTGCCATTGTTACTTATTCTTCCTCCTCTTATTGTTTTTTTCTTTTATTCTCTTGCTTCTAATATATTATTATAATCTTCTTACTGCTGGCTCTGGAAATACTTCACGAGCATCAAAAGTATGGTGAGTGTATGGATTAATCAATTGGTTAAAAACTAATAAACTATCGACGTGTTTCAGTTTCCTTGGAACAGTACCATAACCTTAAATTTATCTTTTTGACAAAGCTCTTTCTCCTTCAAAAATAGTTTTTCCTTTCTATGTAAATCTTCCATATGCCATTTGAATGGTTGCTACTCTATCAATATTATCTGGAGCTTTCCCTTAAGAGCCTTACTCATTTGCCAATCTTATATATTTATATGGTTCATAGATAGGTATCACTGGTTTATTATAGCATTCTGAAAATATGGATTGCTTATTAGTAGGATCGAATTCATATTTCTTAACAAACTTGCTAGGGGATTGAAAGACAATTGCCTGAGGACAATTTTAAAGATGATTTAACTTAGCATTGCAAACATTTATGCGCTATTATAGTTAACTTACTAATACCTCTGCTAATTGTTGAATTCTTTGTTTCACTAAATTGACACGATCACGTAGCTTTTCTTCTGTCTTATTAGTAGCCTCTTCTAACAATGCCAAATTGCTTAGAGTAATATCTAAACCTTCCTTATGATGTAAATCGAATGAGGCTAGATTAAATAACCAAGGGCATGGCTATATAAATGCCATCTTATAATAATAATAATATAAAATCAATTCAGATTTTCTTTTTAATATTAAATCAGACACTGTCAATGACACAATAATTAATCTCAAATTCATGTTTATATAAAAAAAGAAAATTATACATTGAAAAACAAAAAAGATAATAAATTTCTATATATTTATAGATGAAACTATTTAACTATTTAAAAAGATAACTAATATCTTGAATGAAATAGTTAATAAAAATTGTTAATATTCTTGAGAAGCACTAAAAATTATTAAACATCAAAGTAAACATGAAGAAAATGGACAGATTGAATCTTAATTTTTATTTATTTACTTCTCTTTAAAACAAAATTTAATTAAAAATTATTAAATTTTTTTAAGAGTTATTAAGGTTCATTTATCTTCTTAATTTGAATTAGAATTTTTAACATTACAGATTGAAGATGTTAATAATATAAATAATTCATAGTATCATTTATTTGTTAGAGTTGTTTCATCTTATTGTAATGTAGGTTATATATATTGATCCCACCCCTTTGGTTTAATATCTTCATCTTCATTTATCCACTCGATTCTACGGCCATCCTCCCATAAACCCAATTAACTATTACCAGTAGGTAATGAATATCTCCCTTTTCCAGATTGTTTTCCATTCTTCCAATATCCTTCATATTCTAAAATATAATATTATTAAAATTTACTTCTTCCATCTGGCCACTAATAAATACCATATCCTTATTTTTTATCTTTGAGATATTCTCCTTCATAGGAACGTCCATCTGGCCATGTATATATTCCTCTACCATTCATTTAATTGTTACTCCACATACCCATATATTTCTACTTTAAATTGAAAATTTACTCTACTATCAGACCAAGTATATATTCCGTATCCCTCTAGTTAATTTCTCTTCCAATAACCTAAAAAATAAGATCCATCACTCCAGTAATATTTCCCAAAACCATCTTTTTTACCAAACTTATAATATCCTTCATATCTAGAATGATCTATCCATATTTCAATACCATAACCATGAGGTTAATCATCAAGCCATTATCCATCAAATTTAGCTCCATTAGCATGAATATATCTTCCTTAACCACTAACTCTATCTTCTTTCCATTCTCCATCATAAAGATCTCCACTGACATACCAAAACTTACCCTTTCCATTAGCCCTATTTTACTTCCATTATCCTTCATATTTAGCTCCATCTGGCCATATTTAAATTCCATATCCATCTCTTTATTATCCAACCCATTCTCCTTCATAATAAGCTCCACTTTTGAAAAAATGTCTTTATCTTTTTTCTCTTATTATAGTTTCATATCTATTTCCTCCTGTTTCCATCATATCTTCTTAATTTCTTTAAACCATTTCATTTTTTCTATTTTATAAATCACTATTAGATTCTCAAATATTAACTCTAAATGTACATGAAGTTAAGACGACATCAGATTTTTTATCATTAGGCATTTGAATACATTGTATTGGATTAAAGTTTTCAAAAACTACTTATATTGATTATTTAATCTAGGCTTAACAAGACTCTTATTCATCTTCTTCTTCATAATTTTCTTCTTCTTCTTCATGAGAATAGCGACTTATTGTATATTGATGAAATTCAGAGATTTAAATTTCATCCTTTTTTGAGCAACCTTAACAATTCGTACAATTACTACCCATTCTTAGAATTAAGACAATGGACTTTTATTAAATTATTAATCAACAACATATTAATGGAATGATTTAATTATTTTGTAATTTCAAATTTTAGAAAAGTTATACAGAAGATTATAAAAATGATATTTAAAGATCGATTTAATGTTTAAATCAACTTTATTTTTTATATGTTTTTATATACATAATATTTAATTAATAATTTAAATTAACAAGTTGTTAAGCTATTAGATAATTTATTATATAATTTTTAGATATTTTAAAATATTGTTTTACAATGTTGTAAATATATTATTGATACACTTTTAAAGAAATTCTAATAAAATTTATTTATCCTTAAACTAAAGACTTAATTAATTTAATGGATAAGTATATTGTTATGTTCTCAAAACTCAATTTCAAAATATATTTTATCTCTTGCAACATATTTTTAATAAAAGATGCATATTTAAAAAATAGAGAATTATCATCAGATGAATTTTATTTAATTTATATGAATTGAATGCAAAATTTACAAATAAAATATCATTATTATTTATATATTATACATAATTACAGATCAGTGTATTAAATAACAAGTTAATTAATGTGAAATCCTTTACTTTAATAATATGATTAGAAAATTAATAGATCCCTTTTATATTTATAAAGAATAGAATGTAAATTAGTTTTTATTTTCATAATCTTAAAACTTTAAATAAAAGGATGACATAAAGATCTAAATTTATTTAAAGAAAATAGATATATGAGGATAATTAAATTGAAATAAAATATATAAATATTTTATTTAGAAA